CTTGACGACTCGGCTTCACTCACTTTCTCACAGCCGTAATTTAGATTGAATCTGCCTTTTCTATAATTTTATGGTAAATCATCTAATGAACATTCTTCCATGACACCTAGATTTTAACGAATTTAAGCTCTCATCTAAAATATTTACTATTATACACATGAGAGCACACAAAAAAACGCGCTTCAATTTTATTGAAACTCACATACACATTTCAGAATATCTGCCTTTTCTAAAGCAAAAAATGAACATTCTTCCAGAAGGATTATTATACAACACACAGCATTTTATTGAAACTCACTTGACGACTCGGCTTCACTCACTTTCTCACAGCCTTAATTTAGATTCAATCTGCCTTTTCTATATTTTTATGGTAAATCATCTAATGAACATTCTTCCATGACATCTAGATTTTAACGAATTTAAGCTCTCATCTAAAATATTTACTATTATACTGAAAAAACATTCAATTCCATGGCACACACGCGCCACAAAATACACATCAGAATATCACAAAATCAAAAAAACACCAAGAAGGATCTTCAATTTTATTGAAACTCACTTGACGACTCGCCTTAATTTAGATTCAATTGCCTTTTCTATATTTTTATGGTAAATCATCTAATGAACATTCTTCCATGACTTTTTAACTTTAAGCATCTAAAATATTTACCGTTATTTAGATTTCAATTTATTGAATCTGCCTTTTCTTTCTCATAATTTTATGCCTTTTTCTATATTTTTATGGTAAATCATCTAATGAACATTCTTCCATGACACCTAGATTTTAACGAATTTAAGCTCTCATCTAAAATATTTACTATTATACTGAGGCACACACGCGCCCACATACACATCAGAATATCACAAAGCAAAAAACACCAAGAAGGATCTTCAATTTTATTGAAACTCACTTGACGACTCGGCTTCACTCACTTTCTCACAGCCGTAATTTAGATTCAATCTGCCTTTTCTATAATTTTATGGTAAATCATCTAATGAACATTCTTCCATGAACATTAGATTTTAACGAATTTAAGCTCTCATCGAAAATATTTACTATTATACTGAGGCACACACGCGCCCACATACACATCAGAATATCACAAAGCAAAAAACACCAAGAAGGATCTTCAATTTTATTGAAACTCACTTGACGACTCGGCTTTCACTCCCACTTTCTCACAGCCTTAATTTAGATTCAATCTGCCTTTTCTATATTTTTATGGTAAATCATCTAATAGAACATTCTTCCATGACACCTAGATTTTAACAATTTAGCTCTCATCTAAAATATTTACTATTATACTGACGCACACACGCGCCCACATACACATCAGAATATCACAAAGCAAAAACACCAAGAGGATCTTCAATTTTATTGAAACTCACTTGACGACTCGGCTTCACTCACTTTCTCATAGCCAATCTGCTAATTTAGATTCAATCTGCCTTTTTAACTATATTTTTTTATGGTAAATCATCTAATGAACATCTCTTCCACTTGACACCTAGATTTTAAACGAATTTAAACTCTGCCTCTAAATTTTATGGTTTACTATTATACTGACTCTGGCCTTTTACGCGCCCACATACACATCAGAATATCAGAATATCTAAAGGATCTTCAAAAAACACCAAGAAGGATCTTTTTCAATTTTATTCAAACTTCCACTCTGACGACTAAAATATTTACTATTATACTGACGCTTACACTCAAAAATTATCACAAAGCAAAAACACCGAAGGATTTTCTCCACAGCCGTAATTTAGATTGAAATCTGCCTTTTCTATAATTTTATGGTAAATCATCTAATGAACATTCTTCCATGACATCTAGATTTTAACAATTTAAGCTCTCATCTAAAATATTTTACTATTATACTGACGCACACACGCGCCCACATACATCAGAATATCACAAAGCAAAAACACCAAGAAGGATCTTCAATTTATTGAAACTCACTTGACGACTCAGCTTCAATCTCACTTTCTCAACAGCCTTAATTTAGATTCAATCCCTTTCTATATTTTTTTATGGTAAATCATCTAATGAACATTCTTCCATGACATCTAGATTTTAACAATTTAAGCTCTCATCTAAATATTTACTATTATACTGACGCACACACGCGCCCACATACATCAGAATATCATCAAAAAGAAAAACACCAAGAAGGATCTTCAATTTTATTGAAACTCACTTGACGACTCGGTTCACTCCTTTCTCACAGCCTTAATTTAGATTCAATCTGCCTTTTTCTATATTTTTATGGTAAATCATCTAATGAACATTCTTCCATGACATCTAGATTTTAACAATTTAGCTCATCTAAAATATTTACTATTATACTGAGGCACACACGCGCCCACATACACATCAGAATATCACAGCAAAAAACACCAAGAAGGATCTTCAATTTTATTGAAACTTTCTCTGACGACCGGCTTCACTCACTTTCTCACAGCCGTAATTTAGATTGAATCTGCCTTTTCTATAATTTCCTTATGGTAAATCATCTAATGAACATTCTTCCATGACATCTAGATTTTTGGCAATTTAAGCTCATCTGTAAATATTTACTATTATACTGACGCACACACGCGCCTCCACATACACATCAGAATATCACAAAACCAAAAACACCAAGAAGGATCTTCAATTTTATTGAAACTCACTTGGACGACTCGGCTTCACCTACTTTCTCGCAGCCTTAATTTAGATTCAATCTGCCTTTTCTATATTTTTATGGTAAATCATCCAATGAACATTCTTCCATGACATCTAGATTTTAACGAATTTAGCTCTCATCTAAAATATTTACTATTATACTGACGCACACACGCGCCTACACATACACATCAGAATATCAAAAGCAAAAACACCAAGAAGGATCTTTCAATTTTATTGAAACTCACTTTGTTGACTCGGCTTCACTCACTTTCACAGTCAATTTAGATTGAATCTGCCTTTTCTATATTTTATATGGTAAATTCATCCATGAATGAACATTTAAAACTTCCAAAATATTTACATCTAGATTTTAAATTCTGCAAAAAAAACACCCAAGAGGATCTTCAATTTATTGGAAACTCTCATCTCAAAATATTTACTATTTAGATTCAATCTGCCTTTTCTGACGCACACACGCGCCCACAAAATACACATCAGAATATCACAGCACATCAGAATATCACCAAGAAGGATCTTCAATTTTATTGAAACTCACTTGACGACTCGGCTTCACTCACTTTCTCTCACAGCCTTTAATTTAGATTCAATCTGCCTTTTCTATATTTTTGTAAATCATCTAATGAACATCTTCCATGACATCTAGATTTTAACGAATTTAGCTCTCTAAAATATTTACTATTATACTGACGCACACACGCGCCCACATACACACATCAGAATATCACAAAGCAAACACCAAGAGAAGGATCTTCAATTTTATTGAAAACTCGCCACGACTCGGCTTCACTTTCTCACAGCCGTTATTTTGATTCAATCTGCCTTTTCTATAATTTTATGGTAAACATATTCAATGAACATCTTCCGACACCTAGATTTTAACGAATTCTAAGCTCTCATCAAAAATATTTACTATTATATCGACGCTCTCACACGCGCCCACATACATCAGAATATCACAAAGCAAAAACACCAAGAAGGATCTTCAATTTATTGAAAACTCACTTGACGACCTCGGCTTCACTCACTCTCCTCACAGCCGTACTTCTAGATTGGAATCTGCTTTTCTATAATTTTATGGTAAATCATGTAATGAACATTCTTCCATGACACCTAGATTTTAACGAATTTAAGCTCTCATCTAAAATATTTACTATTATACTGAGGCACACACATGCGCCCACATACACATCAGAATATCACAAAAGCAAAAACACCAAGAAGGATCTTCAATTTTATTGAAACTCACTTGACGACTCGGCTTCACTCACTTTCTCACAGCCTTAATTTAGATTCAATCTGCCTTTTCTATATTTTTATGGTAAATCATCTAATGAACATTCTTCCATGACACCTAGATTTTAACGAATTTAAGCTCTCATCTAAAATATTTACTATTATACTGAGGCACACACGCGCCCACATACATCAGAATATCACCAAAGCAAAAACACCAAGAAGGATCTTCAATTTTATTGAAACTCACTTGACGACTCGGCTTCTCACTTTCTCTCGCAGCCGTAATTTAGATTCAATCTGCCTTTTCTATAATTTTATGGTAAATCATCTAATGAACATTCTTCCATGACACCTAGATTTTAATGAATTTAAGCTCCTTACCCAAAAGATTTATTTATTATGTTTGACGCACACACGCGCCCACATACACATCAGAATATCACAAAGCAAAACACCAAGAAGGATCTTCAATTTATTGAAACTCACTTGACGACTGGCTTCACTCACTTTCTCTCATGCCGTAATTTAGACTTCGAATCTTCTTTTCATAATTTTATAAAATCATCTAATGAAATATCATTCTTCCATGACATCTAGACTTTAACGAATTCTAAGCCTTTCATTCAAAATATTTACTATTATACTGACGCACACGCGCCTACATACACATCAGAATATCACAAAAAAAGCAAAAATACCAAGAAGGATCTTCAATTTATTGAAACTTCACTTGACGACTCGGCTTCACTCACTTTCACAGCCTTTAATTTAGATTCAATCTGCCTTTTCATATTTTTTATGGTAAATCATCTAATGAACATTCTTCCATGACATCCCTATCACCGAATTTCTGCTCTTCTTCCAATATTTACTATTATACTGACGCAGACATTCTTCCGTACACATCCCTATCACTTAATTTCTGGCTCCAAGAAGGATTTCAATTTTCTTGAAACCTATTCTTCTGATGACATCCCTCACTCATCAGCCTTAATTTAGATTCAATCTGCCTTTTCTATATTTTTACAGGTTCTTTTCTCCATGACATCTTCCGAATTTAAGCTTCTTATTTATGACATCACAAAGCAAAACACCAAGAAGGATCTTCACCTTATTGAAACTGGCTTCTTCCCTTCTCGTTATTTTCCTGGTAATCATCTAATGGAACATTCTTCATAGACATCTAGATTTTAACGAACTTAAGCCTCATCTAAAATATTTACTATTATACTGACGCACACACGCGCCCACATTCTTCTGAAGGATCTTCATTTTCCTCACTTGACGACTCGGCTTCATTCTTCCCAGCCTTAATTTAATTCAATCTGCTTTTCTATATTTTTTATGGTAAATCATCTAATGAACTTCTTTGATTTTAAATGAATTTCTTTTCTAAAATATTTATTTAAGTACTGACGGCCACACGCGCCCACATCCCAGAATTCTTCCGTACCAAGAAGGATCTTAATTTCTTGAAACTTCCACTTTTCCTGGCTTCCCCACTTCTCTCACATCCGTATCATTTAGATTTCTGGCTTTTCTATTATTTTCCTGGTAAATTCATCTAATGAACATTCTTCCATGACATCTAGATTTTTCAGTTGAATTTCTAAGCCTATTCATCTTAAACATCCTATCATACTTCTGGCTTCTTCGCGCCCACATTCACACGAATTCTTCCGTGAAATCCCCAAGAAGGAATTTCAATTTTCTTCCGGTTATTTTCCTGGCTTCCTATTCTTCCTCTCACAGCCTTAATTTAATTTTAACTTCTTTTTCTTTCTTTTCTGGCTTCCTATTCATCTAATGAACATTCTTCCTGGCTCCTCCCTATCCACTGGCTAATTTCTGGCTTCTTTGGGTTCTTTTTTCCTGGCTTCCTATTCTTCCGTGACATCCCTATCCACTTAATTTCTAGCTTCTTCCCGGTTCTTTTCACAGCTTCCTATTCTTGCGTGACATTCTATCACTTAATTTCTGGCTTCTTCCGGTTCTTTTCTGGCTTCCTATTCTTCCTGTGACATCCTATCCTAATTTCTGGCTTCTTCGGTTCTTTTCCTGCTTCCTATTCTTCCCGTGACATTCTTATCCTTAATTTCTAGCTTCTTCCGGTTCTTTTCCTGGCTTCCTATTCTTCGTGACATCCCCTATCCCTTAATTTCTAGCTTCTTCCGGTTCTTTTTTCTGGCTTCCTATTCTTCCGTGACATCCTATCACAATTTCTGGCTTCTTCCGGTTCTTTTCCTGCTTCCCTATTCTTCCGTGACATCCCTATCATAATTTCTGCTTCTTCCGGTTCTTTTCCTGGCTTCCTATTCTTCCGTGACATCCCCTATCACTTAATTTCTGGCTCTTCTTCCCTGACCCTATGGTGACATCTTCCAGTTTCTTTGGTTCTTTTCTGGCTTCCTATTCTTCTGTGACATCCCTATCCTTAATTTCTGGTTCCTTTGGGTTCTTTCCTGGCTTCCTATTCTTCTGTGACATCCCTGTCACTTAATTTCTGGCTTCTTCCGGTTCTTTTCCTGGCTTCCCTATTCTTCGTAACATCCCTATCACTTAATTTCTGGCTTCTTCGGTTCTTTTCTGGCTTCCTATTCTTCGTGACATCCTGTCATTTTAATTTCTGGCTTCTTTTCCGGTTCTTTTCCTGGCTTCCTATTCTTCCGTGACATCCCTGTCAATTAATTTCCTAGCTTCCAGGTTCTTTTCCTGGCTTCCTATTCTTCCGTGACATCCCTGTCACTTAATTTCTTCTTCCAGTTCTTTTCCTGACTTCCTATTCTTCTGTGACATCCCTATCACTTAATTTCTGGCTTCTTTGGGATTTTTTTCCTGGCTTCCTATTCTTCCGTGACATCCTATCACTTAATTTCTGGCTTCTTCCGAGGTTCCTATTTTCCTTGTTGTCTTCTTCCTAATCTTTTCCCAAGCACTCCTTCCGTCACTTAATTTCCTTAATTCTTTAAGCTTTTTATTTTCCTGGCTTCCTATTCTTCCGTGACATCCCTATCCTTAATTTCTGGCTCCTTCAGGTTCTTTTCTAGCATCCTATTCTTCGTTGACATCCCTATCACTTAATTTCTAATCTTCCGGTTCTTTTCCTAGCTTCCTATTCTTCTGTGACATCCCTATCACTTAATTTCTGTCTTCTTCGGTTCTTTTCTGGCTTCCTATTCTTCCGTGACATCCCTATCACTAATTTCTAGCTCCTTCCGGTTATTTTCCTGGCTTCCTATTCTTCTGTGACATCCTATCCTTAATTTCTGGCTTCTTCAGTTCTTTTCCTGGCTTCCTATTCTTCTGTGACATCCCTATCCACTTAATTTCTGGCTTCTTCCGGTTTCTTTTCCTGGCATCCTTCTTCTATTCCCTATCCTTGATTTTCCTATCCCTATCTTCCGTGACTGGTCCCTTTTCTGGGTTTTCGGTTATTTCTTACGGTTTTCTTTCCTGTATTCCTATTCTTCCGTATCCTATCCTTAATTTCTGGCTTCTTCAGGTTCTTTTCCTGGCTTCCTATTCTTCCATGACATCCCTATCCTTAATTTCTGGCTCCTTCCGGTTATTTTCCTGGCTTCCTATTCTTCCGTGACATCCCTGTCCATAATTTCTGGCTTCTTCCGGTTCTTTTCCTGGCTTCCTATTCTTCTGTGACATCCTATCATTAATTTCTGGCTTCTTCCGGTTCTTTTCTGGCTTCCTATTCTTCCGTGACATCCTATCCACTTAATTTCTAGCTTCTTCGGTTATTTTCCTGGCTTCCTATTCTTCCGTAACATCCCTCCACTTAATTTCTGGCTTCTTTAGGTTATTTTCCTGGCTTCCTATTCTTCCGTGACATCCCTATCATTAATTTCTGGCTTCTTCCGGTTCTTTTCTGGCTTCCTATTCCTATTCTTCCGTGACATCCCTATGACTTAATTTCTGGCTTCTTCGGTTATTTTCCTGGCTTCCTATTCTTCCGTGACATCTATCACTTAATTTCTGGCTTCTTCCGGTTCTTTTTTCTGGCTTCCTATTCTTCCGTGACATCCCTATCATAATTTCTGGCTTCTTCCGTTCTTTTCCTGCCCTATTCTTCGTGACATCCCTATCACTTAATTTCTGGCTTCTTCCGGTTATTTTCCTGGCTTCCTATTCTTCCGTGACATCCCTATCCAATTTCTGGCTTCTTCCCGTTATTTTCTGGCTTCCCTATTCTTCCGTGACATCCCTATCACTTAATTTCTAGCTTCCTTCCGGTTGTTTTCCTGGCTTCCCTATTCTTCGTGACATCCCTATCCTAATTTCTGGCTTCTTTAGGTTCTTTCTTTTCTGGCTTCCCTATTCTTCGTAACATCCCTATCCACTTAATTTCTGGCTTCTTCCAATTTCTTTCTGGCTTCCTATTCTTCCCTCCTAGCCTCTTTCTGGCTTCTTCCGGTTATTTTCCTGGCTTCCTATTCTTCCATAACATCCCTATCCTTAATTTCTAGCTTCTTCGGGTTCTTTTCTGGCTTCCTATTCTTCCGTGACATCCCTATCCCACTTAATTTCTAGCTTTTTCCGTTTCTTTTCTGGCTTCCTATTCTTCTGTGACATCCCTATCACTTAATTTCTTTGCTTCTTTGGTTTCTTTTCTGGCTTCCTATTCTTCCGTGACATCCCTATCACTTAATTTCTGGCTTCTTCCGTTTCTTTTCCTGTCTTCTATTCTTCTGTGACATCCCTATCCATGATTTTCTGGCTCTTCCGGTTATTTTCCTATTCCCTATTCTTCCGTGACATCCCTATCCTTAATTTCTAGCTTCTTTGGGTTCTTTTCCTGACCTATTCTTCCGTGACATCCCTATCTAATTTCTTCCCTTCCGGTTGTTTCCTGGCTTCCTATTCTTCCGTAGCATCCCTGTATTTCTAATTTCTTCGGTTCTTCCCTGTTCTTTTCTTTTCCTTCCTTATTCTTTTCCTGACATCCTATTCTTCCGTTCCCTATCACTTAATTTCTTTGTTCTTTTTATCCTATTCTTCCATTCTTCCTTAATTTCACATCCTATCCCGTTTCTTTTTCTGACTTCTTCCGTAACGGTTCACTTTTTCCTGGCTTCCTATTCTTCATGACATCCCCTATCACAATTTTCTGGCTTCTTCGGTTCTTTTCCTGGCTTCCCTATTCTTCCGTGACATCCCTATCACTTAATTTCTAGGTTCTTCTGGTTCTTTTCTGTTTTCCTATTCTTCCCTGTTCTCCCTATCACTTAATTTCTGGCTTCTTCCGTTTCTTTCCTGGCTTCCTATTCTTCTTGACATCCCTATCACTTAATTTCTGGCTCCCTTCCGGTTCTTTCTAGCTTCCTATTCTTCTGTGACATCCCTATTCACCTTGCATTATTAAAAATCTTCCTTCTTCCGGTTCTTTTCTTTCTTCCTATTCTTCTGTGACATCCCCTAATTTTTTTTTGGCTTCTTCTTATTCCCTTGAAAATAATTCTTCTTCTGTGACATCCCTATCATAAGGAAGAAGAGGAAAGTTATTTTCCTGGGAAGGAAGGATTCTTCTGTGAAATCCTATCAGAATTTCTGGCTTCTTCCAGTTTGTTCCTGGAATCCTATTCTTCGTGAAAAGAGATTTAATTTCTGCTTCTTGGCCGATTTTCCTGGCTTCCTATTCTTCCGAATGTCCTAACTTAATTTTATCCTACTTTATTCTTCGTGACACCTTATCCTTTTGGATAAAGAGTTCTTTTCTAGCTTCCTATTCTTCCCGTAATCAGAAAATCACTTAATTTCTGGCTTCTTCAGTTATTTTGTTAACAACTTCCTATTCTTCGTGAAAGGTCCCTATTCAATGTATTTTAAGATTTTCTTTGGGTTTCTTTTCTGGCTTCCTATTCTTCTGTTTTGGCTCCCCTATCACTTAATTTCTGGCTTCTTTTCCAGTTCCTATTTTCCTTAGCTTCCTGTTTTCCATGACTTCCAGGTTCTTTTTTCTATCATTTGCGGTTCATTTTTCTGGCAAAATTCTTCTTGTTTTTTTATCCAAACTCCTAATTTCTAGCTTCTTCCGGTTATTTTGTTCGATTCCTATTCTTCGAATACCTTCACGTGACCTTTGGAAGAAAGGAATTTATTTTCTGCTTCCTATTCTTCCTCGAATACGATCCCTATCACCTGCAGGAGAAGCTTCTTTGGGTTTTCTTTTCCTTGGTTGAAAATTCTTCCTTGACATCCCTATCACTAATTTCTGATGGATATTCCCGCTTTGTTTTCCTGGCTTCCTATTCTTCTGTGACATCCCGATCCCTGGAAGACTTCCAGTTTTTTTCAGTTTCCTTTTTCTGTTGGCTTGTCCCTATCTGACTTCCGACAGACCCTATCCCAGTTTGTTGCAGCGTGGCTCCCTTCCAGTTATTTTCTGGCTTCAGTTATTCTTCCGTGAAGTTGCAGTTGGATTTCTAGGTTGGACCGTTCTTATCCTGGCTTCCTATTCTTTCCTTGCGGCCATCAGGCCAGTTCCTCGGATTTTTGCGGGCAGGAATTCATCTGTGACAAAGAAATCTTAATTTCTGGCTTCTTCCGGTTTACTTTTCCCAAGTGACGAAGATTCTTCCGTGACATCATTATCCAGAATTTCTGAGATGCGAATTATTTTCCTGTCGATGAGATTCTTCTAGTTCATCCCCCGGACGGCGGCGAGAAAAGAACCCACGAACTGTAGAACTTCCATCCCTATCCTAGATTTCCTGTTTCTTTGGGTTCTTTTCCTGGCTACCTATTTCTTGCGGAACAAGCCGAAGTCAGTGAGAAGTTAAGTTCAACTCCGGACGGCGGAAGTAAGGAACCACCTCAGACGACAATTTCTGCCTAAGTTGAAACAAAGAAATCTTCCGCAAGTTATCACTTAATTTCTGGCTTCTTCTACGAAGAGAAGAAATGAACTCAAGTCGGAAGAATCATCCTAATGATATTTCTGGCCCTTCGGTTCTTTTCCACACTCCTGTTCTTCCATACATCCCCTATCCTTAATTTCTGGCTTCTTCCTGTTATTTTCCCAACTTCTATTCTTCTGTCCACATACCTATCACAGGTATTTCTTTTTCTTTGGGTTCTTTTATTTAATTCTTCCATTAATCCCTATCCCTTAATTTCTGGCTTCTTCGGTTATTTTCCTAGCTTCCTATTCTTCCTTTTCCCTATCCTTATTTCTGCTTTTCAGTTCTTTTCCTGGCTTCCTATTCTTCCGTGCTTGTATCCTTAAATTCTAGCTCTGGTCCCGTTTCTTTTTTCTAGCTTCCTATTCTTCCGTTACATCCCTATCACTTAATTTCTGGCTTCTTTGGTTTATTTTCCTGGCTTCCCTATTCTTCCCCGTGACATCCCTGTCCTTAATTTCATCTCTTTGGTTATTTTCCTTTTCCTTCGCTTCCCTATCCAGGAGCTTCTTCCGTGACTTTTTCAGCGACTATTCTTCCGTGACATCTAAATTTCTGGCTTCTTCCAAGTTCTTTTCTGGCTTCCTATTCTTCCGTGACATCCCTATCCTTAATTTCTGGCTTCTTTGGGTTCTTTTCCTGGCTTCCTATTCTTCCGTGACATCCCTGTCCTTAATTTCTGGCTTCTTCGGTTCTTTTTCCTGGCTTCCCTCTTCTTCTGTGACATCCCTATCCTTTTTTCAGCTTCTTCCGGTTCTTTTCCTGGCTTCCTATTCTTCCGTGACATCCCTATCACTTAATTTCTGGCTTCTTCCGGTTCTTTTCCTGGCTTCCTATTCTTCTGCGTGACATCCCTATCACTTAATTTCTGGCTTCTTTGGTTCTTTTCCTGGCTTCCTATTCTTCGTGACATCCCTATCACTTAATTTCTGGCTTCTTCCGGTTCTTTTCCTGTTCTTCCGTGACATTCTTCCACTGACATCGGTTCTTTTCCTTATTCTTCTCCTATTCTTCGGTTCTTTTCTTCCCTATTCCTTCCGTGACATCCCTATCTAATTTCTCCTTCGGTTCTTTTCCTGGCTTCCTATTCTTCCGTGACATCCCTATCTGGCTTCTTAATTTCTAGCTTCTTCCGGTTCTTTTCCTGCTTCCTATTCTTCCGTGACATCCTATCCTTAATTTCTGGCTTCTTCGGTTATTTTCCTGGCTTCCTATTCTTCCTGTGACATCCCTATCCTTAATTTCTGCTTCTTGGGTTCTTTTCCTGGCTTCCCTATTCTTCCGTGACATCCCTATCCTTAATTTCTGGCTTCTTTGGGTTTCTTTTCTGGCTTCCCTATTTCTTCCCGTGACATCCCTATCCTTAATTTCTGGCTTCTTCGGTTCTTTTCTGGCCCTATTCTTCCGTGACATCCCTATCCCTAATTTCTGGCTTCTTCGGTTCTTTTCCTGGCTTCCTATTCTTCGTGACATCCCTATCACTTAATTTCTGGCTTCTTCCGGTTCTTTTCCTGGCTTCCTATTCTTCCGTGACATCCCTATCACTTAATTTCTTTTCTTTCGTTTCTTTTCCTTCCCTATTCTTCTGTGACATCCCTATCACTAATTTCTGCTTCTTCGGTTCTTTTCCTGGCTTCCTATTCTTCCGTGACATCCCTATCACTTAATTTCTGGCTTCTTCCGGTTCTTTTCCTGGCTTCCTATTCTTCCGTGACATCCCTATCCCTTAATTTCTGGCTTCTTCCGGTTCTTTTCCTGGCTTCCTATTCTTCTGTGACATCCCTATCACTTAATTTCTGGCTTCTTCCGGTTCTTTTCCTGGCTTCCTATTCTTCCGTGACATCCTATCACTTAATTTCTGGCTTCTTCCGGTTCTTTTCCTGGCTTCCTATTCTTCCATGACATCCCTATCACTTAATTTCTGGCTCCTTCCGGTTCTTTTCCTGGCTTCCTATTCTTCCGTGACATCCCTATCCACTTAATTTCTTCTTCTCCTTCGGTTCTTTTCCTGGCTTCCTATTCTTCCGTGACATCCCTATCACTTAATTTCTGGCTTCTTCGGTTCTTTTCCTGGCTTCCTATTCTTCCGTGACATCCCTATCCTTAATTTCTGGCTTCTTCCGGTTCTTTTCTGGCTTCCTATTCTTCCGTGACATCCCTATCACTTAATTTCTGGCTTCTTCCGGTTCTTTTCCTGGCTTCCTATTCTTCCGTGACATCCCTATCCTTAATTTCTGGCTCCTTCCGGTTCTTTTCCTGGCTTCCTATTCTTCCGTGACATCCTATCACTTAATTTCTGGCTTCTTCCGGTTCTTTTCCTGGCTTCCTATTCTTCCGTGACATCCCTATCACTTAATTTCTGGCTTCCTATTCTTTTCCTTTCCTATTCTTCCGTGACATCCCTATCCCTTAATTTCTGGCTTCTTCGGTTCTTTTCCTTCCTATTCTTCCGTGACATCCCTATCACTTAATTTCTGGCTTCTTCCGGTTCTTTTCTGGCTTCCTATTCTTCCGTACATCCCTTCACTTAATTTCTGGCTTCTTCCGTTATTTTCTGGCTTCCTATTCTTCCGTGACATCCCTATCCTTAATTTCTGGCTTCTTTGGGTTCTTTTCCTGGCTTCCCTATTCTTCCGTGACATCCCTATCACTTAATTTCTGGCTTCTTCCGGTTCTTTTCCTGGCTTCCTATTCTTCCGTGACATCCCTATCACTTAATTTCTGGCTTCTTCCGGTTATTTTCCTGGCTTCCTATTCTTCCGTGACATCCCTATCACTTAATTTCTGGCTTCTTCCGGTTCTTTTCCTGGCTTCCTATTCTTCCGTGACATCCCTATCACTTAATTTCTGGCTTCTTACGGTTCTTTTCCTGGCTTCCTATTCTTCCGTGACATCACTATCACTTAATTTCTGTCTTCTTCCGGTTCTTTCCTGGCTTCCTATTCTTCCGTGACATCCCTATCCTTAATTTCTGGCTTCTTCCGGTTCTTTCCTGGCTTCCTATTCTTCCGTGACATCCCTATCCCTAATTTCTGGCTTCTTCCTTTTCTTCCTGGCTTCCTATTCTTCCCATCCCTATCAAATTTCTGGCTTCTTCGGTTCTTTTCCTGGCTTCCTATTCTTCCGTGACATCCCTATCACTTAATTTCTGGCTTCTTCCGGTTCTTTTCTGGCTTCCTATTCTTCCGTGACATCCCTATCACTTAATTTCTGGCTTCTTCCGGTTCTTTTCCTGGCTTCCTATTCTTCCGTGACATCCCTATCACTTAATTTCTGGCTTCTTCGGTTCTTTTCCTGGCTTCCTATTCTTCCGTGACATCCCTATCACTTAATTTCTGGCTTCTTCGGTTCTTTTCTTGGCTTCCTATTCTTCCTGTGACATCCCTTTCACTTAATTTTCTTCTTCCATCCCTCTTTTCCTCTGGCTTCCTATTCTTCCGTGACATCCCTATCCCTATCCTTAATTTCTGGCTTCTTCCACCCATTTTCCTGGCTTCCTATTCTTCCGTGACATCCCTATCCTTAATTTCTGGTTCTTTTCTCTTTGGGTTCTTTTCTGTCCTATTCTTCCGTGACATCCCTATCCTTAATTTCTGGCTTCTTCCGGTTCTTTTCCTGCTTCCTATTCTTCCGTGACATCCCTATCACTTAATTTCTGGCTTCTTCCGGTTCTTTTCTGGCTTCCTATTCTTCCCATCCTATCACTTAATTTCTGGCTTCTTCCGGTTCTTTTCCTGGCTTCCTATTCTTCCGTGACATCCCTATCCACTTAATTTCTGGCTTCTTCCGGTTCTTTTCCTGGCTTCCTATTCTTCCGTGACATCCCTATCCACTTAATTTCTGGCTTCTTCGGTTATTTTCCTGGCTTCCTATTCTTCCGTGACATCCCTATCACTTAATTTCTGGCTTCTTCGGTTCTTTTCCTGGCTTCCTATTCTTCCGTGACATCCCTATCACTTAATTTCTGGCTTCTTCGGTTCTTTTCCTTTCCTATTCTTCCAATGACATCCCTTCACTTAATTTCTGGCTTCTTCCTTATTTTTCTGGCTTCCTATTCTTCTTGACATCGGCCTTCTTTAATCCTGGCTTCTTTCTGGTTCTTTTCCTTTCCCCTATTCTTCTTGACATCCTATCCCCTTAATTTCTGGCTTCTTCCGGTTCTTTCCTGGCTTCCTATTCTTCCGTGACATCCCTATCACTTAATTTCTGGCTTCTTCCGGTTCTTTTCTGGCTTCCTATTCTTCCGTGACATCCCTATCCTTTAATTTCTGGCTTCTTCGGTTCTTTTTCCTGGCTTCCCTATTCTTCCGTGACATCCCTATCCACTTAATTTCTGGCTTCTTCCGGTTCTTTTCCTGGCTTCCTATTCTTCCGTGACATCCCTATCATAATTTCTGGCTTCTTCCGGTTCTTTTCCTGGCTTCCTAT